ACCCGGCCAATCATACAATTTAAGACCGTTAAGGGTGGTGTCATCTGCAAACATGAGCAGCTTCACAGCTTGATGGCTGGAACAGACCTCTTCATTTTACCTATGATATTACTACAAATGTTACTGTGAGGCGATTACTTGAACAGGAGCTCTGATTTTATATTTAATTAAATCTCATTGGTCATTTTAAAAGTTAGCAAGAGGATAAAGATATAGCATAAACCCAGTTGTTTTCTTCACAATGTTCTAACGTAGTATAGCTATACATATATTGTGGAGACTATTAGACCATTCAGTTGTCAATCTTGCCAAACCGCCACACTTGTGCATTTCCCTGGGTCCTCCATTGATTATGCTCTCACATATTTAGCAACAGAAACAACACTGGTATGAAAGGGGAGGGATCAGTGTTCTGTGGCTGTTTTCATTCAAAACCTAGTTTTTTCTGTAGATTCAACAAAGCAGCTTTAAGTGTGGGTTTTAAAAATGAGACGTGGAATTAAAGCTGCAAGCACCGTCGTTCGGCCCTCACTGCTCCGCTTCAGTCCAGCCTGGCTGACAGCCCGGTGCACCCGGTCAGGTCCACGGAACATAAACGTGGACCATCCCAACAGCAGAAAACGCACACTGTCTCCTCATCCAAACCTCACCCTGAGTCAGCATCTCCTCTGAGCCCACCAATTAATTACACATCTCAACACTAGGGCATGCTCTATCTTTACCCCAATGGTGGTGTGATGACACAGGCCAAGTTTAAGTTTATTCTGACCACGTTTTTTGAAGTTTTTTAAGGTTAAAGTTATCTAGGGGCACTGTGACCAAATACAGAAAAATCCCACTGAGGTCAGCTTTGGTTGACAAAGGTGGTTTTCTGTTATTTTGGCATAAATCAGATGTTGTATGTGTGTTAACTTGAGCCAGAGAGCCGAAAGGGGGTGGAACTAAAGAGGTTTGAGCCAACAACCACATCAATGTGTTTGGTGCAGTCATGTGATGACACAAGCCAAGTATAAGGCCATTCTGACCTTGTCTTTAGAAGTGAATAAAGTTTGAACCTTTCTAGGGGCACTGTGACCACTTACAACTAAATTCCATAGAGGTCATCTTTTGTCATCAAAGATGGTTTTCTATTAATTTGACATCAATCAAACGTTGCATGGATCATCTAGAGGCAAAAGGCTGTAAGTGGGCGGAGTTGAAGTGATTTGAATGAGTGAGCACATACAGTAGTTTGGAGCTTTTTTGTAAAAGCTACCAAGGAATTATTGTATCTAGGGGGTGCTGTCCCAAATGTAGGAAAATATTCCATGGAGCAGTTTGTAGATTCACAACAATCAATTCAAAGTCAAAGTCAAAGTAATTTATTGTCATTTCTACCACATGTGCAGGACATACAGAGAAACGAAATTGAGTTTCAGCACACACAATTCAAAGATCAGACATACGTGGGTAAGACACATGACAAGAATTGGTGACTGCGGTCATTCGCAACATGAGTCGCGCTACCTTAATAGATAGATGAAAAGGGTGTTACATGACGATAAGTGGGGGTAGGTAAAAAAAGGCATAGCAGAGTTATACCCAGCGGGGAGTAACTCTATTATACAAAAAAACTCCTCCTTTAACATGGAAGCACAACAATTGCGTGTAGTTTGGTGTGAATAGCATTATGCATGTGTTATTCAGGGCCTAATGTCTGTCAGAGGTCGGAGCTAAAGTGATATCAACCAATGACCACAGGATTGTGTTGGGTGCCTTTGTGTCATGACATATAGCAAGTTTGGTGCAGTTGCAACCTCGTCTGTAGGAGTTATTACAGTTTTAATGGTATGTAGGGGGTGCTGTGGTGATATTATACAATGTTCACCAACCGTTTGTGCCTCATTGGCTAAAGGGCAGGATTGTTCATTGCCATGTTCAGTCTCGTGCAGATCGGAGGCTGTTAGTGGAAGTTACAGTCAAACATAGGTCACGGCGTCACGCCAGAATTCACTATGGCATCAAAGCCCCTCCCTTTCTGGAAAGCTATCAGAACTGAATGGTCATTACAGCATCATGAAGACAGTGGATGGCCTTAGTGTCATGTTGACTAAATTACAGGGTGTTTCACCATAAAACAATAGACTTCCTGTTGTCAGGGGGCGGGGCTTAGGTGATGTCAGCTGTCCACATTGTCATTGTCTTCAGATAAGGTCAGTGATCACACAGACAATGTTTGATATAGATTTGATCATGCGCATGTGAGTTATTACGTCAAGTAATGTAATGGCAAAAGGTCAAAGTTTGAGGCTTAGCCACGCCCACACCTTTCAACTTTTGAAAAATCAGACGGTTGAATTTTCCACCCTATGTCTTAAGAAGTTTGAACGTGATTGGTGAAAAGGGCGATGGAGCATCACTCTCCAAACAAAGTGTGCGAAAACCACTAAATCGAGTACTTGGAACAAAATGACCGACTTCCTGTGCGATATTGACCTTGGCTCCAAGAGACTTTTTAGTAGGTCCTAAAGCACTACATTAGTGTACCAAATTTTGTAGTTCTCAGATAAAGCACGGCTTGGGGCTGTCAGTTTTAATGGTCCTAGGGGGCGTTATTTCACAAAAAAGCCCACGCCCACAAAACTATCATGTCCATTTCTATTGGTGGTCAGACTAGGATCACTCATCAGAGATTTCAATGCGATATCACAATAACTGAGGAAATGAGAGGCAAACATATTTCCATGGCGTGATGGCAAATTTCGACATGCTCCCAAAGCCCCGCCTTTTTTCAAAACCTGCCAGTATTGGAGACCAAGTGACCTCAACTTGTCTACTGCTATTTGCCAGAGATTGCTGGTGATTGGGTGAAAGGAGTCCAATAGGGAGCTGTGAAAAAGAGTGGTGTGGTGACAGGTCAAAATTTGAGGCTTAGCCACGCCCACACCTTTCAACTTTTGAAAAATCCAACATTTGAAAAATTTCCCCTGTAGCTTAAGAGTATATCGCAGAAGTTTGAAGGTGATCGGTGAAAAGGGCGATGGGGCATCATTCTCCAAACAACGTGTGCGAAAACTACTAAATCGAGTTCTTGGACCAAAATGGCCGACCTCCTGTACGACTTTGCGCTTGGCTCCAAGATACTTTTTTGTAGGTCCTGAGACACTACATTAGTGTACCAAATTCCGTAATCCTTAGTCAAAGCATGGGTTTAGGCTGACAGTTTTAATTGTCCTAGGGGACGCTATTTAAAAAATGAAGCCACGCCCACCAGATTTTCACATCAGAGTTTTTGGGGGTCCGGACTAGGATCGCTCACCAGAAGTTTTGTGGCGATAGCTTTAGAAATGACGAAATGGGAGTCAAACGTATGGCCACGGCGGTACGCCTGACTTCGCCGCGCTGCCACAGCCTCACCCTCTTTTGAAAGCTCCCATAAAGTGACGCCAAGCAACCCCCACTTGTCTTGAGTTAACAGCTACAAATTTGTGGTGATTAAGTGAAATGGGGCGATTTGGGACCTATCACAGTAAAACGTGACCTTTTTGGTCCTGAGGGGGCGGGGCTCGTGTGATGTCATCATCCAACCATTTTTATTCGGAGCCGGATGCCGAATGACCACAGACATTTTTGCAACTCTACTCTATTTGGTTATGAAGTTATAGCCATTTATATTTTTTTGGCGAGTAGTCGAAATTTGAGGCCTGGCCCCGCCCCCTCAGCATATACAAAAAGTCAGTTTTATTTTTTCTATTTGATTGGCCATCCCTTCTGACCAATTTAACACAAATGTCAAGACGATCGTGCGAAAAGTGATCGAGTAAATCAATCAGAAGCGGACCCTAAAAGTGGTCAAAACGGGTAAAAATCGCCATTTCAATCCCAAATGGTCGACTTCCTGTTTGATGTTGTCCATGGTTGCAAGAGGCTTTTCTGTGCGGACTGTTGAGTACTACAAGTGTACAAAATTTCATAACTGTACAACAAATTAAGGTTTATGGAGGGTGGTGCTTTTCACATTCTATGGGGCACTGTGGAGCTAGTTTTATTGCATATTTTTGGGACCTTTTAAAATACAAAATTTTACACCATGCCTGACGTGTGTGCAAAAATTCCTGAGTTTTCGGGTATGTAAAGGCCTCCAAAAAGCCAATTTACTTGGCGGAAGAAAAATAAACAGAGCAGATACAATAGGCCTTTGCAGCTCTTTCGCTGCTCGGGCCTAATAAGTAAAAAGCATTAATGACGTACTAGAAAAATGTGCTGAGGCCACATTGTTTTAGGCAAAGATGAAGCATCACTTTTATCCCCTCATTTGTGACTTAAAACAGCAGACTAAATCAAGAGACTTTGTTTGGAGAGAGAGAGAGAGTTTAAAGCGACAGTTATTTTGTTAAAGTGTGGTTGTGTGCAGTGTGCAAGTGGATGGTAGAATAGTTAGAATCCAAAAGAAAATCTAGTGATGAAATCAACTACTGAAAGCAGAATTTATTCGGAAATGAAAATCTTTCATCTAAATCCAATCAATTTCACATGGAACCATAGCTTTAAAGTTTCTTGTTTTTGCCGAGAAACTCCCATGTTTTGCCTTTACCTTCTGTACTCTTGTGTTATTATTTCTGTTGTATCATAATTTTGTTTAACAACCATAGCTTCATGAGAACCCTCATCCGACTCATCTCGGACGATGATTATGTATAAAGTGCCACTTTTTAATGAAAGAGTTGTTTGAATGACTATGACTTACCTATACTTGTACATGGATTAAGTTTGTGCTAGAGATTGATTTATAATACAAACCACTTGGTTTCAAAATCATCTCAGCAGATCTGTTGAAATATGTAACATATAATATTTGGCAGAAGTTTTCCTTCTGCCAGCAGTTGTCAAAATTGATTAGTGGGACAGATGCCACTGATTCACTTTTGTATAAACAAGAGAGACGCTTTAATTATGTTGATTTCTCATGAATATGGAAGTACCAAAAGCTGCTTCTAAAGCCTCTTGTGCTTTTTTCACAGAATGGCTGGTTTAATACTGAAGACACCATGAGGAAAGGTGAACCTGGTTCTGGATGTGCAAACGTATTGAAGCTTCAATGTTTTACAAGACCTCAAATTGACCTTCTAACGGCTTTCATTATGAAATGCTTCAAAATTCAAATGCATTCATTGCTGGTGGCTTTGCTGCAATCCTTTCTTGTTTGTTTACCATTGTTTGAATCAGGATGTTTGTACCAGAACAGGAACAAGAGGGACATTTTGAGAGGTGGCAAGGGACTATTCAAGTGTCTGCAGATGATACAAAGCATCAATCTTTCATATGAATTGAAGCCACTTCAAATCAATTTTACCCCAGCCGCTTCCAGGCTAATCATGTGGCAGAGGGCAGGCAATGTGCCAGGTCTGTCTGGAGAGAAGACAGACAGAAACACTCCGGCAGACACTTGTCTTTAAACACACTCATCCTAAACATGGAAATGGCCAGGTATAGGTTTTACCTGGTGTCCCACATAATGTGAAAGTTTGCAAAAAATAGTAAAAAGAAATCCAAGACATACTGACAGGTGTTTAAGCTGCATGGGAGAGATTTATCAACACTTGGTTTATATTAGTAAAGGTGAAGGGGTGCAGGGGTCAGGAACTCATGTCTTTGAGGTCTAGCATCCTGCAAACGTTAGCTGTTGTCTTGCTCCAACACCTTTAAAGGTTCCATGTTCATGCTATTTTAAACGTTTGAGAGCAACGGTAAGTGCAGTATATGATAAAATATTACCGTTTGCACAATTAAGATGGCATTCATCTTAAATACAAATTATTTCCGTCAGCCTGAATTTATACCCGGAAATTAAACGCTTTGTTTCAGTGAAGCTCCGCCCACACCCGTTCTTCCAAAACATGCCTACAAGAGTGTCTCAGGCATGTCATATACTGCTTTAGCTATGGTAGTCCAGTGGTGGACGTGCTGGTCTTCCATCTTAGTTTTGCCTTGTGCTGACGTGGGTTTGAAACCCAGTGGTGTCAGAAGTATTTTATTTAGCCAGCTGAAACAGATTTCATATTTTTATATTTTAGTTTTATTGATTTATTTCTGCTACATATTTAGTGTCTCTAAAGATGTTTGAATCTGGTCGTTTCCAAGCAGCATTTTAGTTGATTTACTATATTCACCTCACATGGACTCACACTGGCTAAGTAAAGTAAAAAAAAATAAAAGAAAATAAACAGATTAGTCCTCATACTTTAAACAGTTTACCAATAAAGGGTTGAAAACATAATACTGGCCAGTGTAGCTAAAACAGAAGAAAAAAGTTACTGCTCGGATCAAGATGTGTACCTGCACAAAATGTTATGCCAGCCCTGGGGTCTCATTTATCAAACAATGTGTAGAATCCTTACTAAAACCGTACGTAAGCTCAGCAAAAAAATGTACTTACGCCAAGTAGGTTTGTGCTTTATCATACATGGAGTATGCACAGCTGCACGCAATCTCCGCTTCATAAATTGGAGACTAACGAGAATGTTTCTCAGCTGCTTTTTAGTCACATCCCGCCCTCACCACGCCCACTTTCTGCCATAAATGGTCAACGTAAAGTGCCTTGTGGATCTCATGCACATACATAAGCCGGCTGTTGCAGCGCTCCGCCAATGACTATGGCGACCATTGCTCAAGGCAGATCAAGGAAGCGCAATTTCACAGAAGCAAAAATTGAGGTACTTGTGGGTGAAGGGGAGAAATGAAAGGAAGTGCTTTTGCAAAACAAATAAGAGCAAATCCATGGAGTGGCACAGCGTTGCTGAAGCCGTCAATGTTGTGAGTTCTTCAGAGATCTGTGGCGGATATAAAAAAATGGTCCAATCGGGATCCGATCCCCAGACTCCGAGGTGAAAGTCGCGTGCGCTAACCAGTCAGCCAAACAGAGATCTCCCCTGTACAAGTAGCCAGGGCACATGATTAATTGGGTCACAGTGACAGGACACACACTGTCAGAGACGCATGACATTCTGTCTCAATCTGTCCCCCTGCTGATAATCTGCATTCCGTATTCTGCGCTTCAGCCTGTGTGTGTGTGTGTGTGTGTGTGTGTGTGTGTGTGTGTGTGTGTGTGTGTGTGTGCACCGTGCGTGCACATGTGTGTGTGAGTGTGTGTGCGTACATGTGTGTGTACGTGCACATGTGTGTGCGTGTGTGTGTGTGTGTGTGTGTGGGGGGGGGGGGGGTTATTCTGTGTGAACACGAAGCAGTACAAGTGATAATGCTGAAGGATTTCATAATTGTATCCTTCTCAGCAGCAGCACTGCAAGTGCTCTCCATGTCCAAAATGTGCTTAAGCAAGGTCCTTAGTCAACTTAAAGTTGCGCACATTTTTCCACTAAGTTTTCTTTCATAAACCCCAAAGGTTGCGTGAAAAGTTGCTTACGCAGTTTTCCGACCTCGTTTTGTGCGTAAGCAAGCTTGATAAATGAGGCCCCTGCTCTCTAACCACTGGACTACCAAGTCTGCTACATGATAGCAGTTGCTAAAGCTACACATCCTGAGCTGGCCAGAGGAGACAGGTTTCCGACTAGAGACTAGCTTCCGGGAGAGAAGCATGGCCTGATGACAGTAGTTTTCATTGATGCTTTACAAGACTTTCAAAGTAAAAAAAAGTTTGCAGCTGAAACAGGAAAATCCATGATTGCGACCAAAAATCAGTTTTGGTATTTTTTTTTTCTTTTTTTTTTATAAGGAAACAATTTCACATGATAAAAGCTTCAAAAAGTGGATTTTCCATCATACAGCTCCTTAAAACAAATGAGTAATTAATGGTTTTTAGCGTAACTCTATTAAGATGATTAAGTAATTTCAGTCTGGAGTGTTGGTGCTGGAAGCATATAAAAGTTTTGTTTACCTGTTTGTAGCTACAGTTTCGCCGACGGCTGCCGGCTTCTTCAGGCTGACGCTGATGATGGCGCGTCACTTCCTTCTCCGTTTATCTGCGGGCAGCAGAGGACGTTGTCGCCCTCTACTGCCCGCTCTCCCCTCTCCGACGATGCAGTCCCATGCGTGGTCCAGCGTGTAAACTCCGTCGTCCCTATTCATGGTCCCACATCCACGTCTCCTTATCTCTATTGCTTCCTTGATCCATCTTTAGTATTTTTGTTGTTCGGTGGTTATGATCCGTGTGCTGTCCCAGTCCACCGAACAACAAAAATACAAAAGATGGATCAAGGAAGCAATCGAGATAAGGAGACGTGGATGTGGGACCATGAATAGGGACGACGGAGTTTACACGCTGGACCACGCATGGGACTGCATCGTCGGAGAGGGGAGAGCGGGCAGTAGAGGGCGACAACGTCCTCTGCTGCCCGCAGATAAACGGAGAAGGAAGTGACGCGCCACCATCAGCGTCAGCCTGAAGAAGCCGGCAGCCGTCGGCGAAACTGTAGCTACAAACAGGTAAACAAAACTGTTTCTGTGTTTAAAAAAGAACGAAAGCATGGATTTAGAAAGACACAGCAAGAACACACCTAAGATATAAAAGTTGTAGGGTGGTAGCCCTCAAGGACCCCGTCCCAGAGGCTGTCATGGATGTCCTAACTGTGCCCATGCAGTGAAGGTGAACCTTTATCTGGTCTTTCTAGCCCGATATGTAAAATAAGTTATCCTGAAATGACAGTCTAGCTATTTTTTTATGAACAGCGTTTGCACTCTGTTTCGATACGCAAATTTATTCCACTATGGTCAGCATGCAGGTGTGTTCTGAATGCTGGAAAGCTCCTGCTCTATGAGGCAAGCATCCATAAGCACAGGAAGTAAAGACAAAATAGTTTTTTGCTGTATAATCTGTTAACTGTTATTAAGTCAAAGCATTTTTATGTGTGCTGGCTCATTGTGTGTGCATGCATACACAGGGGTGGCTCACAGCACACACGTTGTGCTGTTGAGTTAGTGGTGCACATGTACACTGAGCACGGCTACTTTGTTTATTCTATTGACTTATTTGCTCTGTCCATTGACTGTGTTTCCCCATAGCCATGCCTTGCTTTTCTTCTTTAAATTACCACCTTCTAATTATCTGTCACATTTTCTCCTATCCTGTGCCAAAGACACGCAATGGCCAATAATGACCCCGTAGACAGCATCTATCAGGCGCTCCACCATTGATTCTTCTCTCCCTCATTTTCTCCCTGTTCCCTTTACTGGTTGTTTGGTCTACCTCCCTCCTCCTTTTTTTTCTCTCAGCCATTTTCATCCTGTGCTCTCACTTTGTTTTACCTTCACTTTGCGTCAGCCTCCACGAGGTAACAGATTTAATGCTAAATGCCTGGAGAGCATCATTTGAATGTAATGATTTTAATGAAGAAGCATATTTCTTTCTGTTGTTCTTGATCAATAGGAATGCGTCAATGGCAATATTAAAATGTAAATAAATAAATGCACTGAAGTGCATATTAGTTCTGTCTCTATGAGGCAATAAGAGGTCGAGACAGAAGTTGGCTTATGTATGTCTAAAAAAGCACCTGAAGTGGAATCTGTTTAGCCACTGTCATTGGTTGACTGAACCGACCGCGGGGAGTCAAAGTGGGTGATGGCCCAATGTTTGGCCAGCATGGACTCCTGTATGACAGTAATGTAGTTTGAGTGTTAGCTGCCCGAGGGCTAGAGAGAATCTCGTTCCCCTCCCACAGTTTCAGCTGGCATCTGTCCCCTTTTTATACCTCCCCCACAGTCACAACCCTCCAGTCCCCGCTCGCCCCCTCCCACCCCATAAGCTTCACCCGCAGAAAGCACAGGAGCTCAGGTCATTACTGCAAACCATCATGGCTAACTGTCACACACACACACGAGCCAGGCTTGTTCTCAGTGCAAACATAGCATCTGTCTTCCCACCAACTTTCTGAAATAAAGAGCAGTGGTTTGAGGGAAGTCAACTTACCAAACAGACATGGGGCAAGCTGGAACAGCTCATGAAATGATGGCCAAAGGAACCGCTCTCCCTCTCCACTCACGTCACACTTCTATAACAGAATGTAAACAACTTTATACATGACGCTTTTTTAAAAACGTAACTGTAG